ACTTTTATGTATTCAAATCCTTGACCTGGTCATTGTTAGCACCATGCTCTACCAGTCAATGTTAATTCCGTTTACTTATTTAGTCTTTGGTTTATACACTAAACAATACATGTACAATAAGGTTCAATTCATTAAAATCAGTTACTGCTTTAGGTGTAATGAACTAACAGTGAACAAAAAGATCTAGATTGTTTTTGTTAGTTCACAATATTAAAATGAACAAATTAACTAATAATCAACTAAAATTTTCACCCATTGAACTTCATTGTAAAGCACTATAAGGCTGTCACACGTTGGTGAGACAAAGGCCCGTTCACACAAAGAATAATAATTATAAAGATAACTATATTAGCATCCACACCAATGCATGATAACGTTCTGTTTATTATAAGAATTGACTGCAATTGTCATCTGGCACTTTAAATACTCCAGCTCTTTAAAGCATGACAGATTCTGATTGCTGTCAATGTTTTTATCGTTCATCAGCTGGAAAAAAATCACTTCAATTCCAACAATGTTGTGTTCTTCTTTGCTGTCATTGTTATAGTGATGCTCATTTTTTTTAACCATGCTCGTTTTTTTAAACCATTTTTAAAAATTCTAATATTTTTTATTATTCTAATATTTTTAATTAATAATATTTTATTATTTTAATAATAATAAAATTCTAATTTTTTAAATTATATCTTTGTTATCATGGCGTAAACAGGCCTTTACGTTCGTCAAAATCAAGGTTTTCACAGTGATGCCATGAAAGAATCATTTGGGTTTGCGAAAGAACCTTTCCGTGAACAGTTCTTAAAAGAACCATTATTTTCCTTTTAGACGTTTTAATCATCTAAGAACTTTTTTCCAATGTAATAAACCTTTTGTGCAATGGAAAGATTCCAGGGATAGTATATACTATATTTGCATGGATCCATAGATGGCAATAAAGAAACTTTATTTTTAAGAGTGTACATTTCATATTTTCTGGCTCAAAAATTGTGTTTGCAGAAGAAAGAAAAAAAAAAGAAATAGATGTCAGCGCAGCTATATATATGCTATGGTTCCAGTCCAGAGATTGTCTGCAGTGATAAATGACTAGAGTTTTTATAACACACAAGAGCCCTTGTTCTTAGCGCTGACCCCGTTCCGTAAACCATGCCTCCCAAACTCCATTTTTGGAGCAGACTTCAGCTGCTCTTTCTCAGCCTGGAGTGAAAACATCCCACCTACCAAGAGGTCGCACTAGAATTAGACTGCTTGAGGTGGGGGTTTACACAGAGAGAATGAGTTACTGTCAAACTAAGAAGACATTTTCTCTGTGGTGTGGTGGTCCTCTCTGGCTTCATGTCTGCGCTTGACTACCTCAACAGTGCGCAGCTCAGCTGTGACAACAAACATGGGGTCTCCTGGGCCGGTCACTCCAAGCCCAGCAACCAGCGCTCGGCCTGTGCTTCACAACGTGGCTTCCAATACTCTGACCACAGACTTCCTGTCTGTTCAAATCTGTTAGGCTGACTCAACCTTGACCAGAAAAGAGGCTGTTTGCTTACTTTAGAGTAGGGGGATGATATTATCTACTCTTATTATCTAATATTTTTTTTGGATGTCGAGATAAGAGGGGCTATTAGTGTTGGACATTTAAATTTAGAAAATAAGTAGTGTAAAACTAGCCTTCAAAAGCTTTGACATATGTGACCCTGGAGCACAAAAGCAGTCTTAAGTCGCTGGGGTATATTTGTAGCAATAGCCAACAATACATTGTATGGGTCAAAATGATCCATTTTTCTTTTATGGCAAAAATCATTAGGATATTAAGTAAAGATCATGTTCCATGAAGATATGTTGTAAATTTTCTACCGTACATATATCAAAACTTAATTTTTGATTAGTAATATGCATTGCTAGAACTTCAGCTTTAAATGTGATTTTCTCAGTATTTTGAAATTTTTTTTTTTGCACCCTCAGATTCCAGATATTCAAATAGTTGTATCTCAGCCAAAATTGTCCTATCCTAACAAACCATACGTCAATGGAAAGCTTATTTATTCGCTTTTAGCTTTGAGATGCATACATATAAAAACAATGTACCCTTATGACTGGTTTTGTGGTCCAGTGTCACATATGTGAGGACACATTTAGCTGAAAACTACCTGTCTTTAACAAATAAGTGTCAAATGGCTGAGCAACAGTAGCTTGGTAATGATGTTTGTTTGCTTGTTTGTTTTTTTGAACTTAATTTTACTAAAGAGTAGATTCACATGGAATCTACACAGGCAGAGATTTGAAGAAGTAAAGGGTTAGTTCGCCCAAAAATGAAAATGTTGTCATTAATTACTCACCCTCATGCCATTCCAAACCCATAAGACCTTTGTGCATCTTTGAAACACAAATTAAGATATTAAATGTAGTAAAGACATTGTTAAAATAGTCCATGCGACATCAGTGGTTCAACCGTTATGTTATGAACCTACGAGAATACTTTTTGTGCGCAAAGAAAACAAAAATAACAACTTTATTCAACCATTTCTTCTCTTCCGTGTCAGTCTTTGATGCACGTTCACGACATTACCTCAATGCATTATGCACCTTATTTTTGTTTTCTTTGTGGACAAAAAGTATTCTCATAGCTTCATAAAATTACGGTTGAACCACAGATGTCACATTGACTACTTTAACAATTTCCTTGCTACAAATTAAGCACAATACCAGCCTACATTTTTTCAGACTCCGTCCTTTCATTTGCTTTAGTTGTAAGTGTGATCAGAGCCTGATGTCAAATCAATCCCAATGGGAAATCCCAGCATGAAGAAAACCAGTGTATGTTTACCATAAAAACATGTTCTGACTGACATATGTTTGCTTGCAGTAGAGGAACAGAGAATATCTGGTGAATTCACCTGCAAAGCACTGGCAGGAAGGTGAGATGTATTTGGATGCGTTTCTTTGTTGAATCTGATCCTTTGAGCTCTTCTGACAGCGCGATATCAGCTTATTCTCAGCTCTCTGTTATGTCATGCTGGCAGAAGAACTGTTTAGATATAGACTACACAGCAGTCTACGGCCTGATAAATGCTTCTGTTCTCTGCATGTTTATGTTATGTTATGTACTGACAATCATTTCCCAGCTGGTGAGATAGCAGCACCACTTGCAATCTGAATCCTTGCTTACCACCTCCTTTACTATGTGCTTTTCCAATCAGTTATAGTCTTGTTTTTGTCATTTTTGCACTCAAAGAGTGAATTAATACTTTATTAATGATGATATTCATATATGTGTTGCATGTCATTCCACATTAGACTGGTAACTGCTGTAGAATGTCATGCTTGGGCCAGAGTATGTCATTCATTCATAGCCTGTAAACGCTTTAATCCCGCATGGAAACAGCTGACCATGTGACGTACAGTGGAGTGGGAGAGTGGCCCTGTCTGATCCCATCAGAGATTACTGCTCTCAGGCCTCAGCGCTCCTTCACAGCTTCTATTTCCTGTGTCAGCCATCATCCTGTGGTCCTTAACCAATCCACAGCCACCAGGTGGGTTGGTATTTGTTATCCTCACCCAATCAGATTGCATCACACCACAGAATTCTTGCTGAGTTGTGACTTTCAGCTGACAATTCAAAATATTTTTAGCATGGAAAGTAAGGAATGATTCAGCTGGTTTTGTTTGAGGTTTTTTTTTTTTTTTTTAACATTCCGATTTGCAGGTCTGCAGCAAATATAATACACCCCCAAAAACTTTGATATTAACTCTATATATGTCAACAATAACATTCTATCCTCAATAAAGTTAAATATTAGGTCCATTATACTCAATTAACATACTATATATCTATATAATTTAATATATCCTCTTAATTAAAAAAAAATTAAATGTGTGTGTTTGTGTGTATAATAAAATATTAAAATACAAATGTTTATCACATTGTATTACCATTTATATTAAAATATTATGTTTAAATAAAAATGTTTTCCTAAAAAATAAATGTATGTATGAACACACATATATTTATGTATGTATAATAAAATATTAAAATACAAATGTATAACACATTGTATTAACATACAGTATACGTTATATTAAAATGCATATTAAATCAATATTTTACTATTACGTGTGTGTGTGTAAAAGTAATACATTATATGAATTTATGTAATAAAAATGGTAAAATACAAATTTATATAATTTACTATTTACATTATAATAATATTATGGCCTCGTAATAAAGGTAAATGTATGCTATATTGTATTAACATGCTATACATTTAATGTACATAATATATTTAATAGTGTGTGTGTGTATAAAATTAATACAAATACAAATATATTTCAGTAGATACAAATT